GAATTTTTCAGTAATTTCATCAACTGATTGTTGCCGGTTATCTTTTACAATGTTGATTATTCTTCGGGTATCTCTATATTTAATATTGGTGGTCTACCGCTTCGGGCAGCTATTTTTGTATGACGTTATGAACTGTAGATTTGGGTGGTCCTAGAGTTTCTCCTATTTTTTGTTCGGAAAAACCATATTACAAGCGCCGACTATCTCGCCGCGCTCAAAATCCGCAAGTTGGCAATTTTCTGCGAGTATTGGTTGAGTTTGACCTATTTTTTTATATCGTTTTAAAGCTAGCTTTCTAAAGAGCTATTGTGTGTTGCACAAATAACGATGCAACTCACCTCTTTATTTATGTCGATCACCCCCGATTTCCAAACTTTTGTCCAGTGTACAACGATACCAATTACATGTATTTTCCGGATTGTGGCTAATCTCACAGATAGTGAAAATGCATGTGCATATATGTATTAACAAATCATCTAACGCTAAATATCGTTATTTGGGCAATTATTCCATTTTCTCCATTAAGTATAACTTATGTCAAGAATGACAAACGAGTCAACGTGTGCTTCTAATTCTGTAGCAGAGATCAGAAAATTGACTACGCAAAAACCTATCGAATTTTTACATAAAGAAGATTTAGAACTATAGATGAGGATTATAGTATATTTTCCAGAGAGAGAATCAATGGCCGTGACTTCTTCTAATTAACAAAGAATATACTTAGAAACTATGGCATGAAAGGAGGGCCTGCGATAAGAATTGCTAATTTTGCTAATGAGTTCAAAGAAAAAAAATTAAGAGATTTATATGAATGTATTTCAGAGCCAATGGCTTTCTCTGTTCAGGACAGAAAATTAATACAGCATATTGAATTACCAGAAATGAAAAATGAGTTATCAGTAACATTATGACTGAATATTCTGCATCATAGTCCTTCCCTCCTATGTGTCTGTCTTTCATAAAGTATATCTAGTTATGTATTTTGCAAGTTCATAGAATCTTTGAACAAAATTTATAATACATGTATATTTTTAAACATCATATTAGGCAAAGTAAATGAAGATTGAACATCTATACACCAAATAATTTAGCACTGCATTCATGATTCTCGACAACTGGTGGTAGAATCACAGAAATTGATTCAGTTAACAATGGATTTTCTCTAAACTGATGGTAACATCTAATCTACATATTCTCTGAACCAGAAAAACAATTAGATTTTTACATAGATGGAAAATGGATCAGAATTCTACAGCTTCCAGCAAGATATCAATGATGGACCATTGTGTATTGGAAATGATCCCATAATGGATTACTGGCCTAATCAGATATTATTTATTATAATTAAATAGTACAAGAATTACAAAAATATAAATATTAATGATCACTGTTATTATAACCTGGCATTTATCTGTTGAAAAAGTGGCTTTTTTGAATTTAACAACATATTAATACCAATACCAATAATATCATTAACTTCTAATTCATCAAATTACATTTAGCATACTGCTATTATAGTTAGTGTAGGAGATACTTATAATCAAAATTGAAAGCTATATTATTTCTGCTATAGTTCTAGTCATCCAGATATTTCAGATAAGAATGGCCAATCAGTAAACTGAAAACTAAATAAATAATTTTGCTTCCTTTAATTATTTGTTTTTGATATTCTTTTTGGCTATCAGCCTTGGACTTAATTATTTCTCTTTAGTTTTTATTATTATATGAATTAAAAATTTATTGCTAAGTTATATTTATATACAGAAAAATTTTGCTTACAAAATAAAAAGAATTAGATGGATAATATAACTTTCACAAGCTTGTCTAATATATTTTAGTATATAATCAGAAAATAATATTGATAATACTGAGAAAAATTTAGAATATATAAAATTTTCAAGTGTGAATATTATTTATTTAAAAACTTTATATTTTATTAAACTAATTATTTTTTACAAAAGTAAAATCAAAGTTTTATAGTATAATCTCTTAAATTATTCTACTATGAGATTAAATTAAGTTTAAATTCTACAAAATATTATAAATTGTATTGCAAATATTTATAATTTTTTTATTTATCAAAATAATCAAATTCAATTTGAATATACATTCTATAATAATAATATTAATATTAGAGATCAGAACTGGTTTTAAAAATCAAACCTGATTTTATTTGTCTCATAAAAATCAAAATTGATTTAAATTAGTTTTAATTAATAAAAATAATATCTGATTTAAACTAATTATAATAAAACTGATAACTAGTTTTCAGTAATTATTTTATAAAATAATTACAAGCAAGTCTTTTAAATATAATCACTTAGCATCTCTAACATTCACATATGATATATTATATTATAAATTTTATAAATTTTCTTGAGAACAAAATATTTTGAAATAAGTATTATTATATTTTAAGAATAAAATCTTATTTACTAAATCAGATGATAAATATATTCTTTTCACAGAAATATAATTTCTAATATTTGAAAATAATTGCTTATTTGAACTAAAATTACTGGAATCAAAAGATATTTTCTTGTAATTTATATTAAAATAGAAAGACTATCTCTATGATTTATCTATCAAATTAGAAGATTATCTTTAACTTTAATATTACTTAGTTTTATATAATGTGATACTTTATTATCTTTATCTATATTATTTATATATAATCATCTTCAAGTTTATAAAAAATCATTATTATTATTATCTTAATTTTTATCTTTTACTAATTTTATATCATCTTGAATATAAAGTCTTTTTTTAATATATTATACAAAGCTTTTATCAATTAATATATTTTATTATATTTACTATTAATTGTCTAATTAAAATATTTAAATTATAAATCAAGAAATATAATAATTAAGATATTATCAGTTAGAACAAATTATAATTTATCTAATAAAAAATAAATTATAACTCAAATCTTTTTAATCATTCCAATAGTATTAATCAATAATAAGTATTTAATCTGATTGATATCTTTAATACTTTTAGTTTGTATTTATTTTTTAGTTAATTTCTATTAATTTTATCTTCTTTGATCATGATTTCTCATTCTTTACTGGAATTATCAATGTGTATATTATTATTATTATCAAGTATCAATAGTGGGTATATCATTATCAATTATATTATTATCACTTTCTTTATAATCTTTTTTATAGATAAGATTTAGATAGAAATCAATTATCTCATCTTTATTTGATTATAAATCAAATTTTTTAAGAGATTTTATATAAGAATAGATAAGATTAAGAATCAGATATGAATATTTTATATTATATAAATATTAGATTATAATTTTAATTAGTTTTAATAATTTTATAACTTCTTGTAAAAATCTATAAAATAAATAAATAATAATTTGAATTGTATCTTCTTTTCATAAATTAAAAAGCAAAATAAAATAATAAATATAAAGTTAATAAAAAAAATATATTATTCTTTTTCTGCAAAGATATTTTAGTTTTCATCTTCTTTTTGAGAAGTATAATCTGTTTTAAAAAGGAAAGAAGTTAAAATAAATCTTATCAAATTATGCAATTCCAAAATATGCTTTTATATCAAATAGGTAAAATTCCATTTTATCTTTATATTTATTATAAGATCAAGAGAACTTTGAATAGAATCATCTTCAACTTGATCAATATTATTTTGTGTTTTATATAAATGTTAAGTCTGCTTTAAAAGTTAAAAAAAAATCTGTAAACTTTTTACATAATAATATATAGCTTTATAATATAATATTTTAGTTCTTCTTGAATTAATAATTGCAAAATATATGTTATATAAAATTAATATTTTATATTACTAATATAATTATTCTTTAATAGTCTTATTTTCTTAACTATATTAATACTATTATTATGGTAAATTAGTAAGTGGAGTTTCATTTTAATTCATATTAATAATATAGGATTGGGAGAGACTGAAATAATTAAAGAATAAAGAAAGAGAAATTAGATTATTACTTTCAATAATGACAAAGGTTTTTAAGATCTGTATTAATATCTATGGATATTGTTTAATAAAGGGTAATAAAATAAAGAAATAAATAAATAAATCAAAGAAATTATAAAAATTGACTGAGTGAAGCCACTAGTAATCAATATAATTCAAGATTTGAATTAATTAAATAGCAAGCTATTAATCAAAAAAGGCTATAATTAAAGTAAAGATAGAAATAAAATATGTAAATTAAATAACTAAACAAATAAAAAGGATATGACTTATTTATAGTAGAGATCTTTTATTCTCAAAAATAACAAAACAAAAAGTATGACTTATTTATAGTAGAGATCTTTTACTTTCAAAACAATATCAAAAA